TAACTCGCTCAAAAGCCTTGAGTGAATGTGGTAATGTTGCATTTCTATCTCAACTAGAACCTAAAAAGGTTAATGATGCTTTAAATGATGAGTTTTGGGTTTTGGCTATGCATGAAGAATTAAACAATTTTCAAAGAAATGAAGTTTGGAAGTTAGTTCCTAGACCTAACAATGCTAGTGTTATTGGTACAAAATGGGTTTTTAGAAACAAACTTGATGAACATGGCATTGTAACTAGAAATAAAGCACGTTTGGTTGCCCAAGGATACAATCAAGAGGAGGGCATAGACTATGATGAAACCTTTGCACCGGTTGCAAGGTTGGAATCTATTAGGATGTTTTTGGCATTTGCTAGTTTTAAAAATTTCAAACTATTTCAAATGGATGTCAAAAGTGCTTTCTTAAATGGTTTTATAGAAGAGGAAGTGTATGTTGAGCAACCCCCCGGTTTTATAGATCATGCTTTTCCTAATCATGTTTACCGGGTACAAAAAGCTTTATATGGGTTGAAACAAGCTCCTAGGGCTTGGTATGCTCGCCTCTCTAGTTTTCTTATTGAAAATGGTTTTTCAAAAGGAACAATTGATAACACACTTTTTGTGAGAAAAAGGAAAAATGATTTCATTTTGGTTCAAATATATGTGGATGACATTATTTTTGGTGCTACTAATGAATCCTTGTGCAAGGAATTTTCTAAAGTTATGCAGGATCACTTTGAGATGAGTATGATGGGAGAGCTTACATTCTTTCTCGGGCTCCAAGTCAAGCAAACTAAGGATGGGATCTTCATTTCACAAAGCAAGTATGCGAAGGAATTGGTGAAGAAATTCAAGTTGGAGAATTCTAAGCATGCGCCTACTCCCATGAGTACTAGTGTTAAGCTTGATGCGGATGAGAGTGGTGAAGATGTGGACCAAAAACTATACCGAGGTATGATAGGTAGTCTTCTTTATCTCACCGCTAGTAGACCCGACATCATGTTTAGTGTATGTGCATGTGCACGTTTTCAAGCGTCTCCAAAAGCATCTCATTTAATTGCGGTTAAAAGGATCATTAAGTATGTTAATGGAACTTTTAACCTTGGTTTGTTTTATCCAAAAAGCACCACTTTTGATTTATATGGTTTTTGTGATGCCGACTTTGCCGGATGTAAGGTAGATCGCAAGAGTACTAGTGGAACATGCCAATTCTTAGGAAATTCCCTTGTTTCTTGGGCTTCCAAGAAACAAAATTGTGTTGCATTGTCCACTACGGAAGCGGAATACATTGCCGCCGGCCTATGTTGTGCTCAAGTTTTATGGATGAAACAAAGTTTAGTTGACTATGATTTGAATTTTCAAAATATTAAAATCTTTTGTGATAACACAAGTGCCATAAATATTTCCAAAAATTCGGTTTTGCATTCTAGAACTAAGCATATTGACGTGCGCCATCATTTCTTACGCGATCATGTAGAGAGACAAGATGTATCCCTAGTATTTGTTGACACCAAATCTCAACTAGCGGATATATTTACTAAGCCTCTTGGAGAGGATGATTTTTGTCGCATAAGAAATGGTTTGGGCTTATGCACTATGTGAAAGTTCTACATTGCTTGCTTGATTAGTTGCATTTTGCATTTGGCATTTCTCTTTACCCCATTTTTGATGGTGACAAAGGGGGAGAGAAATCTCCTCATTTGTTGCATATATTTAGGGGGAGCTCATAGATAGGGGGAGCACCTATCTATAAGCTATTTTATTTTTGCTCTTATATAATGGTTGGTTGTCATCATCAAAAAGGGGGAGATTGTTAGCCCTTATGTTTTGATGATGTTCTTACAACCACCATTATCGGTACTAATGGCTTATTGAGTGTAAATGTAGTAAACTCATTTGTCAAGCTCGTTAGTGCCATTAATGGAGGATGGATGGAATATATGCTACAACGAAGATATCCAAAGGAGGAGGAGGCCAAGAGATGAAGCAACGTTATTTCAAGAACGACAAATTCGATCAAAAGCTTCATCCGATTCAAGCTATATCAAAGCTCAAGTATATTGCTCTCTATATGAGGATATTAGCTTTATTTTGTTTTTCTCTCTAGTGCTAGAATGTAGGCAAAGAGTTACTGAGTTTACTTGAAGCTATTGGGAATCACACACACGTTTTTAGACTTGTGCTTTTAAGCGTTTTTCACAAAATACTATTTTTCACAAGTATGAGTACCTATCTGCAAAATTCTTTTTCCAAGCAGTTTGTTTTTAGTATTAAAAACGTTTTCATACTTATGTTTTTAAGCGTTTTTCACAAAATACTATTTTTCACAAGTATGAGTACCTATCTGCAAAATTCTTTTTCCAAGCAGTTTGTTTTTAGTATTAAAAACATTTTACAAAGTTTCAGAATTTTCAGAGGTCAAATAAATATTTTGCAAATATTTCAAGTTGGTCAAAAATCAGATTTCAGAAAATATCAGAAATCGGTCGACCGGTCCGGTCGACCGATCCGATGACCTTTCTTCAGTATGTTTCCAGAGTGTCGTCGGTCGACCGGTACGGTCGACCGAATTTTCAATCTTTAATCGGTCGACCGTGCCGGTCAACCGATGAGTCTCTGAGTGTTTTACCAAATTTCCTTAGCTTCTCGCGGTCGACCGAATTTTTCGGTCGGTCGACCGAAGGCATTTTTCGGTCGACCGAAATTTCCTTCGGTCAACCGATTTTTGCCTCTGGTCAGCCGCGACTTTTTTAAACGGTCTTTTACATCGAACACTGTGTTTTCACTTGTTAGTGATTGGCACAGTCTGTGATGAGGGTCTGAAGAAGAGATTATTATCTCATTTGGGAAGATCTGTTTTTGTTTTAAAATGATTTAAACTTTTCTATATAAACCCCCCAGACCTCTTCTTCTTCCTAGCCCCAACGTTTGAAAAACCAGAGAGTTTTTTTCTGTTTCCTGAGTAAATTTTCAAAACTCTGTTTTTCTCTCTGTTTCAAGTGTGATTCACCTCCCAGCTTCAGTATACCTTCTCTTTGCTATAAGGGCTGTGTAAAGAGAGGTTCTTGCATTTCTTTCTTCTGCTTTGTGAGTGAGATCTGTGGAGATCTACTGTGAGGGAGTGTGATCTGTGAGATCAAACTGTGTAGTGAGAGAGATCTGTGGAGATCGCTGTGTAGACGAAGTTCCGGCTTCCAAACCGGGTGTGTAGTGGATTTCTCCTCGAGAGTGGGGAGCGGGGACGTAGGCCAGAGGGCCGAACCTCGTTAACACATCGCGCGTCAAGGATAACGAACTCCTAACCTTATCTCTCTTATTTTTATCGCATTTCTGTTTTGTGGTTTGCTTGTGCTGATTTTTAATTGCATATTAGAGCCTTTTGACCCTAATCACCCCCCCTCTAGGGTCCATCAGCCCTTAGTTTGCATATCCTTGCTAATAATTCATTGAATATCAATCTTGCTAGGATATATTTATTAATTAGTTTTAATTGACATTAATATCGGATTAGATTAGCATTAACCCTATTCACCCCGCTCCCCCCTAGGGTGCTTCTAGCCTAGAGGGATTTTTTTTTTCTTTTAAATGGTGGTGGAGGATGAAGGTTAGTAGAAGTAGAAAAGGTGTTCATAATTGAAGCCTAGAGGAGTTTGGAGGAGGTTGGAGGATGTCAAGACTACAATTGAGAAAATTACGATTAAAGAGTGCAGTCCACATAAGCAATCCACACTCCCCCAAGCACTCTTGAAACTTAAGTGAGCAGGTTAGGTACCGCCTAGACACTAGGCGCTAGGTACGCGGACTAAGTACCACCTACGTCTAGCTGGACTAGGCGGAGGCTATTTAAAACATTGGTGGAAACTAATTGAAATTGAATCGAATATCAAAGTATGTGTTTGGCTCATATTTGACTATTCGAATTCAAAACAAATAGGAAATGTGTATTTGAATTCAATTCGATTTGTATTCGAATACCCGACAACTATTCATGAATATTTGTTACCAGATTAATTATTCGTTAATTTTAGGCAAATATTTGATAAATATTTGTTATCTTATCATGTTCCTATAATGCAGTCAAACATGATATAACCAATGAATATGTAAACTAGTGATAAATGTAATATTCATAAATAAAAAACTACTTATATGAGGTGTGTAAAAAGCTTTTGGGATGCTTCTAAAATTTATAGGCCCAAAGTGCAATATATAAATGAATAGTTTATTAAACAAAGAAATTGAATATGCAAGCGGTTAAATTCTATTAGTTTATGAACCAAACACTAAAAAACTATTTGTTTTTGTTAAATAGACTATCAAATCAAATATGACCGAATACTTAGGCGAATAAATACCGAACTATTTGCTAAATATTTGGTTGGGTTCTAACACTACCGTTGAGGTGTAAATGGTGATATTTCGAAGCATGTGTACCTGACGTCTCTCTTATCTATCTCTCTTATCTGTCCTAAAATATCATCTCATATTACTCCGAATAAAGTATACAACACTTTGGTCCGATATGACTCAAATAAATACAAGCACATGTGTCATTGGTTCATAAGACAGTTGAGTATAGTTTAATACTACCAAGTGAACTCGATCCATTGTTCGTTTCTTGCAATTTATCCAGCAAATTGAGATTCCTAACAAACTTAATCAACAAGTTTTGGGCTCATATGCGTTGAACAGGACAAAAGTTTCCACTAATATTCTAATGCTTCTCACATTGATATAAGATGCGGCTACAAGAAAACGCGGGGAGAGAATATTAGGTCTCTGTGATTTTCCTTTGTCTTTGTTAAAGAAAGAATATCAGCATTTTTTTTATCAAGATTAAGATGAACAAAGCATGCACGCCTACAAGTCGGTATTTGTCATGTGAAAGAATGTCTATCCTTTTGGCTAGATAAAGAGAATCTGAACAATAAATGCCAGATCCTGGTTTACACATACTATAATGGATTATTTTCATGAGTCAGGTGAAAAGTTGTATAATTAGGTGAACATTATCCTGGTTAGACAGATTCCTTATATGTTCTGATTGGGATAAAAAATTCCCTGCATGCATTCAGTTCTCCCCCACAGCTCTGGGTTCTGATCATTCTCCGCTTGTTCTTGATAGTAAAGGGATTAACTCAGTTGTTCCTATCTTTAGATTTGAAAGGAGTTGGCTTCATAATCCAAGTTTTTTACCTTTCATTTCTAGTTGTTGGACATCTTTTAGTTGTCAGGGCTCTCCAGTGGATATTTTCATCTTGAAACTCAAGCTTACAAAAAAAAGAATCAAATGGTGGAACAAAAACTTTTGCGGATCTGTTGCTTCAAGAAAATCTGAAATCCTATCTAAAATAAATGCTTTGGACGTGCTTGAAGAGCATAGGCCTCTTTCTGATTCTGAATTATATGACAGAAAGGGACTTCACTCTTCCTTTTCTGCAATTATCCAAGAAGAAGAAACTTATTGGCATCAAAGGTCAAGAGTCCAATGGCTAAAATTGGGCGATTCTAATACTGCTTTTTTTCATAAAACTGCTACCTTTCGTAGAAATGCTAATTATATATCTTGTATCAACTATCAAGGAAAGGAGCTCTCAAATGATCATCATATTTCTGAAGCTTTCTGTGAGTATTTCAGTAGTATCTTTGGTCAGAGTAATAGGTCAAAAATGAATTTAGACTGGTCCATTTTATATCCTCAGGAAGAATCTTTTCTGAATTCTTTAGATGATGTTTTTACGGAGTCTGAGATAAAATGTGCAGTTTTTGGTATGAATGCCAATAAGGCCCCAGGCCCTGATGGTTTCTCCATGGCCTTCTATCAAACTTTTTGGGAGACAATCAAATATGATCTTATAAAATTGATGATCTTTCTTCAACAACAGCCTTCAAACCTCCACAGGTTAAATAAGGTTTTCATTACGCTTATCCCAAAAACCAAGGACAGTGTTCATATGAATGACTTCAGACCTATTAGCTTAATTAATTGTATCTTCAAGATTTTCTCCAAAATCCTGGCTAACAGACTTTCTACTGTCATTCCCAATTTGGTTGCATCTACTCAATCGGCTTTTCAATCAGGGAAATCAACCCTTGATTCTATCATTATGGCAAATGAGATGATCCACTATTGTTCTAAGAGAAGAAAAGAAGTAGCAATGTTTAAGATTGACTTCTCTAAAGCTTTTGATTCCATTAATTGGAATTTTCTTATTGGCCTTCTCAAAGCTAGAGGTTTTGGTAGCAAATGGTGCAATTGGATTTATCATATTGTATCCTCTTCTAGCTGCTCCGTTAAAGTTAATGGTCTTCCATCTAAATTTTTCTCTTGTAAGAGAGGTCTTAAACAAGGAGACCCCTTATCACCAATGCTTTTTAATATTGCAGTTGATGCACTGAATAAAATGATTCACAACAATGTGGAAGATGGCCTCCTTTCAAATCTTGGTATTAAGTTACCTCTTAATCAGTTAAGAATTTTGCAATTTGCTGATGATACTCTTTTATTCGTTAGAAGTTCTTACAAGGATATATCTGTTTTAAAAACAATCCTGTACATCTTTGAGGAGGTATCTGGTCTGGGAATAAATTATTCCAAGTCTTCCATTGTATACTTTGGCAAAATATCTACGAGGGGACAATATCTTTCAGAACTTCTTTGCTGCAAAATTGGCACTTTACCAATCAAATATCTTGGTTTACCTCTGCGGTATGGGAAGCTTAGAAAAACTGACTGGGAACCTCTCTTAGACAATTTTCATAAAAAATTGTCTACTTGGAAGAAGAATTCTTTGTCTTATGGAGGGAGGTTAGTCCTTCTTAATTCAGTTCTTACATCCATTCCATTATATTTCATGTCATTCTACAAATTGCCTACTTGGGTTATCATTGAGATTGACAAAATCAAAAAGAGTTTTCTATGGTCGGAGAGTTCTCAAAATAGCAGTTTTAAGTGCTTAGTCAATTGGAAGAAAGTATGTTTAAGCAAATCAGAGGGAGGATTAGGAGTAAAAGATATTCGTGTTTTCAACTGTGCTCTTCTAGCTAAATGGCTATGGAAATATCTTGATCCTAATTCTCATACTGGTATTTTCCTTCGTCAACTTTATAATCACAGAGGCTCTTTAATCCAAATATTACATGCTAATGCTAACAATTCCTCCTTCTGGAATACTCTCATTTCTTTTAAAGAGGAGTTTTTTCAACATATTATTTGGACTATTGGTTCAGGTGAAAGGATTAGATTTTGGGAGGATAAGTGGATTGGACATAACTCATTATCTAGTCTTTTTCCTTCTCTTTATCAGTTGGCATTATCATCAAATGTGAATGTTCGTAGTCAAGGCTTTTTTAGAGATAATGCTTGGCATTGGAGCTTATTGCTAAGAAGATGTATTCCTCATATGTCTCGTACAGATAAATCCAATCTCTTGAATCTGATAGGAAGCTATCAAATTTCTACTCATTCTGATATTCCTATATGGTCGCTTACAACTAATGGTATGTACTCTGTCAAATCCTTCTATCAGTTACTCAATTTCAGAGGCATTAAATCACCTTTCTACAAAGTCATATGGAAAAATGCTATTCCAAGCAAGGTCAGTGTTTTCATTTGGCTTTTATCTATGAACAAACTGCATACAAAAGATAACTTACTGATGAAAGGATGGCATGGAGATTTTATTTGTATTTTCTGTGGGTTGGAACCAGAAACAAGAGACCACTTGTTCTTTTCCTGTTGTAGGACTACTCAGGTCTGGGGACATTTTAAAGATTATTATCTTCCTTTTACATGGCCAAATTCTTTTGATATTCTTATGAAAACTATTGAGAATCTAAGGGGAGGCACAGGATATATATGGCGTGGAATCTTCTCTCACGTTTGCTGGAATATTTGGAGTTGTAGAAATAAAGTTCTGTTTGACAAAGTAAACTTTTCTTCTAAGATGATCATTGATCAGTCAATTTTTGGTTTGGTTGAATGGTCAGGTGTGGGGAAGGGGTTGACAGCAAGGAAAATATCTGCCATGTTGAAGGATTGTCCATTACCAAGAGCAAGTGAGTGAAGCCGCTGAATCTGTTATGGTTTGTTTGGTTGATATGTAACTCTCTCTTTTGTATACAGGATAGTTTTTGATGTTTTTTAGTTGTTGATTATAGAAAGTTTAATTTCTACTGCGCATATGTATAGCTGGCTTTGGTTCTTCCTTATATCTGTGTCAACGATGAATGACGGCAAGGCCCTCTCTTCATCTTCACAGATCTTTGGAAGAAGAAAGTTATACATCAATACCAGGAGAAATTCTATTTTCTATATTGCAACATGCGGATACAGTTCGTATCCTTCTTTTGTACTTTTTTTGTACTCAGTTTTCTTTTTTATTAATGAACAAGGTTTAACCCTTGTTTTTATCAAAAAAAAAATTAGGTGAACATATGATATGTTTTTTTTTTCTTTTCGTGTGTTGTAAATATGGGCAAAATTGTAGTTAAATGCCCAATAGTTTCATCAATATTGTAATTAAATGACCTATATTTTAAAGTCGAGCAAATAAGTACCCTAATTATTTAAAATTTGCAAATAAATGTTCTAAAGTTTTAAAATGTTGTGCTTTGGTGCTCCATTGTTTACTCAATGTTGCATATAAATGTCCTCAGTTTGTAAATGACTTCACTTAAATACCCTAAAGTGTAAAAGTTACACTTCAATACCATCCGTTATGTGATGTTCTTGCATGCGTAGAGAAACCGGGTTTTTTCACTTTTGGGCATTTAGTTGCTCGGTTTTGAAATAGATGTCACTTAAGTTCAAGAGAAGTCCATGGAAAACAAAAAAAAATCGAACACGATGGAGGCCACGAATTCAAGAAAGATTGTCGGCTGACTTCAAGAAAAATCTCAACATGCAATGAAGAAATTTGCAACTTACGTGACGCAGTGCGGAAGTAAAACCTCAGAATCCACCAAGGGGTATTCTCTGAATCCATAAAGAATGATCTCCGAATCCACGAAGAACTTTGAATCCATGAAGAAAATATTAAAATAAAAATTTTATTAATGTAAAGTTATTATTTTTTAGGGTTACATGACTTTTCTTAAATAGAAAAACAAATAAGACTCCTAGTAAGATTAAAATTATAAAGAAATAGAAAGTATTAAATTCTATCCTAAAAAGACTCTATATAATAGAGAAAACAAATCATGAATCAAAATTAAATATATTTCCTAATCTAATTTGACTCTAATATTGAATTTATTAATTTCCTAATCTAAATAGACTCCAACTTTATTACTAAAAATAAACTAAAAGCTGATTATTTTCAAATTTTAGCCAAAACTGGATATTACTGATGAGATTTTAAAAATCTGACAATTTAGTTGGCTTCTTCTTGTCGAGATAGGCGATTTACATATATAATATGTTAGAATCCGCTTTCTAGGCTGGAAGATATAATTGTTTCTTTGCAGAAGTTAATAATACATATAAATCTATATTTAGCTCGTGATTGTCTGAATCCTCCATGAATTTGTCTATTAAGCGTCCTACATGAGTCTCCCCTTGTTGAAAGAAGCTCGACCTTGAGCTTATATTTGCTTGAATAGTAGCTTCATCGATAAATATCTTTTTTAACCTGCATCGATCATCATCCGCCTTATACTTAGCATTGATGTTCTCCATTTGTTATTTTACCTTCTCGGCTAGGGCTTCTTCTGAATCAAATTCATATATTATTCTTTCCGACATCATGTGTATTTTATTAGCGGTATGAGGATGTGCAGATGACTTGAAAAACTCATCAAAATATGTTCCATGTTGCTTCTCATATTCTAGTGCTGAAAGTATCATCAAAATCATATTGAAATTATTCACAATCTTTTCTTTCAGAGAAGAAAATCTCATGTCATACTCCATACACAAATTTTTCATCTCCTTTGTCTCTAGCCCTCCACCAAACAATTCACACATATCATCAATTGCATCACTCAATAATTTATCCTTCTCCTCCATCGGGACAACATCAATATGTGCAATATCACTCTCAACCTGTTTGAGAATATCATGTATATCATCCATCTTTACTATCATATCACCATCATGAATATTCTCATGCATAACGAGTGTTTGCACCTTAGGAGGAATTTCGGCATGCGTAGGTTCTTTATTTCCAATTATAATTAAATCATAGACCTCTTCAAATTGCTTCATACTTTCTGCTAAAGGCTCGTTGTTTGCCACTAAAGGTTTCTTTTCTCAGTAGTTTTTATCTTAGATGGCTCCTTTTCTATAAGAGACATAAGTACAATTCTACATTCATCCTTCTTAAAGATATAAACACTGTCTCTATTTCTGTGACTAGCTCCAATATCAAATTGTCATGACCTACCTAAAAACATATGACAAGTATCCATCTCGACCACATCACACAACACATCAACATAGCTGCGACCGATAGAAAAAGGTACCCGACACATCTCATCGTTCTGCACATTATTGCCCTTGCGAATCCAGTCGATCTTGTAGAGAGGTGGATGTTTCTCTATCTTCAAACCTAACTTATTCACCATACGCCGAGAGATAAGATTCTTTCTACTGTGACTGTCAATAATAACATCACAAACATTTTGCATCACAGTGCATCTCGTGCGGAAGATATTATACTATGGAGGTGGTTCTTCTTTCTTTATTGCTTCTTTAGTGCTCTTCCCAACTCCAAGGTCTTGCTTAGGGTCATTGTCGCTATTGAATTCATCCTGTAGAGTCGGATCATGTTGCTGGCGACCATCAACGCAATTTCAAACTCCTACCATGTTCAGACGCTCTACTATCGACGCAAGTCGCTCCATGACACTCTTCCTATGATTAACATCGGTATTTAACTCATCGAACTTAGTTCGAGAAATAAGGGCTTCATCACATGCCATCGGATTGGAGGAACAAAGCTCTGATACCAATTGACGAAGCGTGAAAGTAAAACCTCAGAATCTACCAATGGGTGTTATCTGAATCCACAAAGAACAATCTCCAAATCCACGAAAAACTACAAATTCATGAAGAAAATATTAAAATATAAATTTTATTGAATTAAAGTTATTATTCTTTGGGGTTACATGACTCTTCTTAAATAGAAAAATAAATAATTAAGACTCCTAGTAAGACTAGAATTACAAAGAAATAGAAAGTATTAAATTCTATACTAAAAAGACTCCCTATAATAGAGGAAACAAATCATGAATTAAAATTGGATTTATTTCCTAGTCTAATTTGACTCTAATATTTAATTTATTTTCTAATCTAAACATACTCTAACTTTATTACTAAAAATAAACTAAAAGCTGATTATTTTTGGATTTCTGCCAAAATGGGTATTACTGATGAGATTTTAAAAATCTGATAATCTAGTTGGCTCCGTCTCGTCGAGATAGGCGATTTACATATATAATATGTTAAAATCCGTCTTCTAGGTTGGAAGATATGATTATTTCTTTGTTAAGCGTCCTACATCATTAAGTGGTACTCCAACTTTTTTCAGTATTCAAAAGAGAAGAACCCTTTAGTCCTTGGACCAACATATACTTATTTACTCTCAAAACCCTTCTGTTTTGCAATACAAAAGAGCTTTTCATTCCTCAGAACACCCGACGTCCACCGGACGCTACCTCTCGGCATCGAATTAGAGATGATATCATTTCAGCAGTCAACATACTCATATAACCAAGCGGAATAAATAAGAAGATGCCATTATGATGTGATCGATGAGTTGAGATTGAGGATAGAAGATTCGGAACAAAGGAAAAGTGTGGGAAATTAAAGCCAGGCTATCATCTCGAGCTACTTTAGACTACAGCCAGTCGCCAACCGTGACGCTGTTCCTCCAAAAATTCCCCCTTGAGAGGTGGCGGCCGAATCTGAGGTAGGGGTGGGCCCCGGATCGCCTCGGACCACTGCTGCCGGCGGCAAGACGCTACCTGGACTCAATCATTTTGGCTCACATACGGTCTTTGTGCAAGCTAGCTGGACAGAACAGTTTTCAAAATCCTTTTAGTGAGACCATGGATAGCTATTCTCCGTGTTTCATTAATAAGAATTTAACGAGAAAAAAAAGATACAAATAAGTGTCACCCTTACAAAAATTAGAATAGTTAAACTGTGGATAGTGCAGGACAAGCAAAATAGCAAAATAACAAAATGATCGACCGGACAGAACAAGCACCTTCCCCCCAGACGCTAGTTCTTCGTCTCGTCGTCGTTATCACTACCGAGAGGAACCCAGTTTTTAACCTTTACCGCATAAAGATTAAATAGCGTCTTTTGTAGAGACCAAGGTTTTGAAAACAACACATCCTTGCCTCATTGCGTTCAAAGGATATCAACAAGATTTCAGTCCAGGTTGAAAAGAAAATGGAGATGCTCAGATTACAGATTTTGATGCTAATATTCTCTCTACAAGACGAAGGTATTAATCTGAATTGCATACTGCAGGCTTGTTGCATGATCACAGGAGGACTTGCAGTGATAGTGTCAAACAATTTGAAATATTGTGATGATAATTTCTCTTCAATTCAGCAATAGGATTTATAAACAGTTCAGGATGATCAAATGAATTATTCAAATCAAGTACACATTTAGGTTATTTTTTTTAAGACAGAGGTCAATGTATCAGTAAATCATATGACATTAGCTTATTTTGGATATGAAGAATACGATTTACTCATCGAAAGAGAATATATACGAGTATAAATGAGGAAAAACCCAGAATTGTCGCTATATTACTGCTTGTCTGGACTATATGTGGAGATATAATTACATTACAAACAATAATATGTTTAGAAGTTCAAAGAAAATCATAGACTAATGTCCTAGGTCAAAGGATATAGTCCCATGCATTTACATTAACTAGATTTCCTGTGATTGGATCAACCGCTCACTTTGTAAAGGCAACAATGTTAGATCTAATAAAAATTTGAGATCTAAACCATAAATCCATGATTAATTCGAAGAGATTAACAAGAATCAAAAGAGCGGAAGCTTATACCTGAATCCATAGATGAACCTTGAGATGGGTTT